GCACCTCATATTAGGCATATTATGATGAAGATTCCACAAAATAGCACTCATTTTAGGAACTTCTATGTACAGTTATTTCATAGTTTGGGAAATATAAAGAAAGCAAGAGCTTACATTGTCTTTTGGAGTTTTCTATCTCCATCTCTTCATGTCTGCTTTTTCTAGACTGATATTCTTGTCACACCTCTCTGAACAACAGCATCAGCAGGAACCATGCTAACTAGTACTGTTGTCCTCAAGTATGAGCTCAGAATTTTTAATGCATTTTTTAATGCTGGCAATTGTTTTAGACTCTAGGAGGGATGACCTAACTTATTATTCTTTCCTTAACTTGGCAAAAGCAAATATATTACTACAGAAAGTACTACCAAAAGGAAACAGTAACTATGAGACAGACACATGTCCATCCTAAGAAAAATGAATCTATTTCCAAGTAGAATACACTGCTCAGCTGCTGGCAGTGCTCTTCAGCATATTTGGCAGTGTAGTCATTCTAAGTCTGAGAACTGTTTCTGTTCTGTAAAAATGGTTTTGGTATGAAAACCCTAAATAAATCACTTGGAATGTGAACATTCAGAGCTTCCTTTAGGATTCCTTTTGCAAGAATTGAGGTGCACTGAGTCACTGTTCTCACTGTCACTTGCTTCCTGGTATCTCAGCTGCCTTTGAGTCAGTGCCAGTGAAGAACTTTCCTTTTGGTCCTAATGTAGGGAGGACAATAGAAGAAGGGTCTCATTTCAAGTACCAGAAATGTCTGGGCTAATAAAGAACACAGGTGTTGTCAAAGTGAAGCCAGAGTGGATGTGCTCAGACCATTTGCTAGAAGCCTTTATTGGTTCCTCACATACCTGCAATGTACACAGAATTATATGCATGTGTGTTTGTGTAAGTGCCAAGGGAATGAGAGCACAACCTTTACTGAATTATTAAAGGGGTGTTAAGACCCATACAGTTAAGAAGCACTGGAAATATTAATCACAAAATAATTTTAAACTTCTCTGATGGATCCGACCTTATGTTTTCATAATGCTTTTCTGTACTTTGTTATACTCCAAAGAGCAGTATGGTGATAAGGACAGAATCTCTGACATTTAGATGTTGATTCTGAATCTCAGTCTCCTCCATGAAAAATGATCATACAGTGGAAGGAAGAAATCAGATACCATAGATGACAGTCTCTCACAGAGTGCCTTGAACTAGAGAAGGGTTCATGAATATGACACCTTCCCCACTTATTCTTTTTCAACAGAATGTAAGCATATTAAAGGCAGGGAAATATCTTCTTTAAACTTTTTTGTTGTTGTTGTTAAGGTTTCCATGCTTTTTGATGTGTGTGGGCCAATTTCCATTTAATGCATGCAAGCTTACAATAACTTTTTTGAAAATAACTATCTGAATGTACTTTTATATTTTATTATTATATAAGGAATTTAAAAAATGAAGCTGGGACTTGTGCATATATTCAGAGCTGAACTTGGCTATTGGACAAAGTAGGTAGGTATGTACCTTGGGAAATGATAACCCAATTCTTCACTAAAATCAAATTGCCAAATAGCTACTATGCATATACATATTAGGCACTGTACTATGCTTTGAGGCAATAAAAAGTTGTCAATCCTGTTCTCCAGGGTTATTCCAGAAGAGGACAGCATGTTCACACAAAGGGATGGATCAAGATAGAAAGTGCCATAAGAATTTAAACAAGGGAGAAAACAGGGAAGGTAGGTATGGGGAAGACTCAGGGAAAAGATGGTGTGTGATGTGAGCAAGGCTTCAACATGCAGCAGGGTGAGCAAAAGGAACAAATGGAACCTACAGGCATGACCTCATGGGGCACAAATTGGAAATAATGACCACTTAGTTTAGACTGGTCCTATGGGACTTAACGAAGATTAGCAAAAAACTAGATAAAGAGGTATCACGGTGCCTACTATATATGACTTATTAATAACTAAACACAAATATTTAAAAAGTAACATAAAAAGAACTTAAAAATATAGACATAGCAAACAGGGTGAAGTGTTGTATAAATCTGGAAATAAAGAGGTTACTTGACAGATTTCAAAACTGTACTTTTTCTACCCATTTTCAGTAGAGGCACTGGTTGAAAAGAAATGACATTTCTTCTCCAGCCTTATTATTCCTACTTTTGCTTTCTTTCCCATTTTTCAAAATCTCAAGATAAGACCATTTGATTTTACCTTATGGTAGTCATGCAGCACCATAGAATGGCTTTGTTATGAGAGAGAACTTTGATTCCAAAATCTGTACTTTCTAAGTTACAGATAACACAGACTGTCACCAGGATGAATATTTTACATGAATATGAAAGGAGTAGATTGACTTCAGTTCCATCACATCAAACCTATAAAAGGGCTTCCATTTATTTAGCATCTAATAGTACACATCATCCTATTTTCATTTCTCTATTTTGAACACCAGGCAATTAATTTTTCCTCTCCCTAGGAGATGGTTAAAGAAAAGGAAATGAAGTTATAAATCAGTTTCAGTCATGAAATCATTCATAGATTTCTTTTTAGGGTTCTGAAATTAGAAACTTCCATTAGAAATTGTTAAATATAACAAAGTCCAAATTCAGTAATTCTTTAAAATTAATTATCTTCCTTAGTTGCACTGAACTAAAAAAATTAGATTTTCTAACTTATTTTCTTTCTTCCTGAAAAAGCTTCTCCAAGTCATAACTTCTCCAGTCCATAACTTAGTGGATTCATCTTACCTGTAAAATCACCAGGGCTGATGTCAACTTATCAAGTACCAATCCACTAATCTTGACCCATTTTTGCCAAAGGTCTTGGGAAACAAAATAATAGACACTTTCATTTTTCAACCATTATTAGAATATTCTCATGCACTATTCTTCACCAGAAAGATGCCTCTTAAAATTACAGAAATTTGTATTGTTCTTAAAATCAATAGCACTAACCTATATTTCATATATCTAGGGCTAACTTATTCAAAGTGAATTATTGCATTAATATTTGCTACCACCTAATATTTAGGATAATTATTTATATACTTAAATACTTTAAGATTAGGAAAGAAAGGCGATAAAGGGTTTTGTTGTTCTTGTTCTTTGTTCCCTGTTATAGTTGGTGTGCCTGAGTCAAATTCTAGAATTGTGAAAATTTTATATTTCAACCCAAACCACATTCAACACATAACAACCACAAGCCCAAATTGAAATGTGCCTGAGGTGTTTGTGGTCTCAGTTCTGGAGGGGAAACTTGGCATGGGATTTCTCCACCCCCTCTACTCCCTCTGCCTCATATAATGAAGATGGAGACAAAGAAACAAACTCACATCTTTCTAAAATGTATTTTATAAAATGGGAATATGTATCTAGAAAAGCAAAAATAATATATAATAGAAATAACATGATTTTTTAGAACCAACATCCTTTTCTAAAAGCAGCACTTAAAATGGAAAGTAAGCAGAGATAAATTTGTAGCTATAAACCCTGCCCCTTTTTTTCACTGATCTTCTGTTTTAATTTGATAAAATGAAATTGCATGGCTGTTCAGTAAGAATGTCTCTCTAATTTCAAGTTTAAAGATAACAAATATTTTAAATAGAATATTGGCACACAGATACCCCACAGTCTGGTTCATTGCAACTGTTCTGTTGGTGCAGTGGCACATTTGAATCATCACAGCCATTTTAACCATTTCACAGCATATTATTTAAGTGTGCATCCCTGGGTGGCAATGGGAATAGGCAATTGGGTTCAGCAGCACGGCCTGTGGGAAACCCTAGGACAAGCGTCAGGCATCCTTCAATGGAGAGGTCAATTTGAAGCTCGAATAGCCTGAGCCTTAGGCTGACCAGCTCCCATGACTTTCTGAGTGCCTGTGGGGAAGCCTCTCTAGAAACTCTTTTGAGGGTTACTGGAGAATCCTAGGACAAACATATTGCTTGTTTTGGTAAGGAGGACTTGCCCAAACCTGACCCAGCTAGATGTCTCACAACCCAGCTGGGCAAAAATAGCTTCAAGAATAACTGGATAACATGCACATTTCAGTTCCTACCTATGCCTGTACACAGGGGGCCAGTGACATAGGATGGCCTCCTCTCTCACGCCCCCCCCACACACAGATTCTGCTGTCCTGGAAACCTTTCTGGTAGCTCAGTGACTGCAGTGAAGGGAGTTACTGCAAATCATGTTGGTAATGGGCTGAAAGCAGAGTTTCTGATGCTGTGTATTTGAGGGAGGGACACGGGTAACAGTACAAAGAGAGAATACCAAAACTGGGGTAGGGCACTGTCCTTTCTGGACAAAATCAGTCATGAAATAGAGGTGGTGGATAAGAGCTGACCGGCGATGGCCTGTGAATGGGTACAATATTACCCTTTCTGCTCCCCACCCCCTACCAAATCAATAAGAATGACAGACAGAGAGAGAGAGATGATGGTAAATGAAGGAAGAAGTGAAGACCAGTGCTGCTCAATCAAGCTGAACCGCAGGAGATGAGAGAAATTTCTTCACTGATTTAAGACTTCCTGTTGGTTTCATATTGAAGTAAGTGTGGGACACTGAAATCTGCACAGACCCATTCTAACAGCTGGGAAGGGAGAAGCCAGAGTCAGGTAGAAGGAGAAAAAGTTCCAATTGCTTCCCCAGGCTGCTGCCAAGCACCTGCTGCTCTCAATCCGGAAAAGATCCCAGTGAAGGCTGAAGGTAGAAATGTGAAAGTAAAACTCCAGTTATCGTACATCTGGAAACCCCTTCCATGTCTAGCACAGACATGCTTATCTTTAAGCGTACAGAGGCTGGAGGCCCTCTTTGTCTGCCCAGTAGTAGTACTAAGGGTTCTCCAATCTCGGGCACTGGTCTGATTAACATTGCCATTCTGGTTGTTGTTCCTTTTTTCACACAGAGTGCCGCAGCGACAGTCCCCTGGTCTGCATCTCAAACCCCATTATTAGCCCAGCGGAAAGCACAGCGATGCTTGGCTAAGGCTAGTAATAACAAGGCTGCTTACCTTCTCGGGATCCAGTCAGCTCACGTCCATGGAGCCCGCAGCAGTCCGGCGGCAGAGCCTCCACTGGGGTGTGCACGGTCACCGCGGCCCCCACCCCACCTGCCGGCTGCAGCAGCTGCTCAGCTGCCCAGACCCACCGCATGAAGTCATCCCTGCCTAGGGCAGGATCGCCACATTCCGCGCCAGGCGTGAGGGGTGGAGAGGGACCTCCCCTGGCCTCAGGGAAGGGCTCCTGGGAACTGTGGCCCACGACCACTATCCCTCTGGGTTTTAGATTTATTTCCTATTAATGCTTTTATGGAGGAATTATCACAGACTGTGGCCCGAGAGAGAAGAGTTGGAATGACTTTCTCTGCAAAACTCCTTTCCTCCGAGTGCGCCCCTGTCATTTGGGCTGCATGGGCAGATCCATTCCTCTGTGTGGGTTTCCTACCCTGCTCTTTTTCCTTAATGGTATTGTTCTTTTCGCTGAATTCTGAACTGGGTAGTTTTTTTTTAAGCTAAACATTCAAATAATCCAGAATGTTTTAAGTTGGTCATCCATTTCTTTAAGCCCTTGTGACACGCTCCACCCTCCCACAACACACTCGGCCAAAGCGCTCTCAATTGTGAGAGCTGGCACCTCTCTCCCTCTTGCCTACGTCATGGAAGAGAAACTCCCAAAGCCGTGGAGAAGGAGCATTGACCAGAGAAAGCACTCCAGGAAACAGAGAGGGGTCTCCCCAGGATTTGTTTCTGTTTAGTGGGGCATTTAGCGGACAGGTGTTCCTTCTGAATATCCTCTTCTACTCTCCCAACCCCACCACTTGAGCTGGCTGCTCTGCTGACAGCTATAATATTTGGAAACCTAAAGCAAAATCCACATTAACAGATGGCTTCATCTCTTTCTCTCTAAAAGGATTTACTAGAACTGGCCTTGGGAACAAGATGCGCATACAAGCACAGAAACCCCCTTCCTCCCTCTTTAAATAGTCACCAGCTTTTAACAGGCCTCCTACTCGCTCACGTCCTCTTCCTCTCCCCCTCCCTCTCCCTTTCCCTTTCTCCTCTGCCAACCAGATCAGCAGTTGAGGGGTTAAGTGTGTGTGTGTGTGTGTGTGTGTGTGTGTGCGCGCACACGCGCGCGCGCGCAGGGGGCGGGGCGGGGCAGTGAAAAGCCAAGGATTTGCTATCCTTACAGCAGAACCAGTGTGGGTACAGAGCATCTTTGATACAACAGTTCTATGTGAGCAGATCCTTCATTCAACCTGCCTTGCTTTTGGAATTGGCCCTCACCAGGTCCAGCCTTACAATATGCATTGACCAGCAATCTGAACAGGGCACTTACTGCACACAGCCCGGGAAGTATCTTTGTTCAATGAAATATTCCCATCCCTCTGGTGATCAGTCACCAAATTGGAAGGTAGTGTAGCGAACAGGGTTACAACAAAAGTCAGTAAGAATTTTTGGCCCCAGAATGTATGTTTGTTGAAAGCTAGAACAAAGTAATTCATCTGCCTGAGCCTCCCCTTCATAAAATTAGGCAATTAATATTAACATTGCTTGGGGGGTTCCTAATTTACATCTAAGGAGTATGTAAGATTTGGATGAGAATATGACATTTTTAGTTTCATTAACCTCAAACTAAAATGTAGCATTTAGCATTCCCTTTAAATATACATGGAAACAACAAACTACAGGAGTACTAATGACTCCTAGTCAATAATATTAGGAGTACTTGTGACTCTGTTACCAATGAAAGCCACAAATTATTTTCTATTGCAGTTTTTATAGATATCTCTGAAGCAGGAGACAGCATAGGAAGAACTCTGAGACTGCAATACTGTCACTGGCCAGCATTTAGCACCCTGGTTGCCAGGAAATGCCTTTTACCAATTAGGTGGACTAAATAGTAAACTGAGGCAGGGAGGAGGAAAGAGACAAGTCTCACATGCTAACTCAGCAGTCCTGAGCCTAGTCTGCTAATCTTGCCAGGTGTTCCAGTATCACAAGAAACACTGTATTAGCAAGAAAGAAAGTCCTTGAAATACTATGTAACATTTCCACTATCTGGGAAAGAAAGCCTTGAAACTGTGTTTTCATCCCAAGGCCTGAATGTGAAAGAGGGTCCCCGGTGCCCGAAGAAAGAGTCCATAAAACAACTTTGGTTAATTGCCTACCTCAGGTCACTATCTGTTTTAGGAGGGAGTCCCTGATGCTTACAGAAAGAGCCCATAAATAACTTTGGAAAGTGCCCCAATTTTAATCAACTGTCAGGTATTAGTTTTACAACAAGATGACCAAATGGGATCTGGAGCAAGATAAGAATTCGGGCTAGCAAACCCCCAGGAAAGCTGGTACCACATTTACCTGTTAATCAATAATCAATATGTAACTTTTTCCCCTCCTATCCCAACAACTATATAAGTCCTGAGATTGCTCTTTCTCCGGGGCTCAGGATTCTCTCTCTCTCTCTCTCTCTCTCTCTCTCTCTCTCTCTCTCTCTCTCTCTCGGTAGGGGGGTCGGGGGGGGGGCTCTTGGCTCTCACGCCATAGGGCCTCTGGCCACCCGGCCTCAGGCTGCCCAGGGGCTTGCCACCCTGGTCTTCAGCCTCTCTTGCTTTTCTCACCCTGCTTTGCCCTGAAACTTTCCCCTTCACCCCCTACTCTACCCAGTCCTGTTCTCATCCATGGAAGCAGACCACTAATAAACTGATTACATACTACTAGATTTGCTGATATGTAATTCTTTACATGCATCAGCAAGGAGAACCAGGTCTCTCCCATCAACATCTCCAAATGTCATTACTCTGATATTCAAAGAAAATCATCAATATCATTTTTGTTTTATTGAATGAGCTATAGTTTAGAATAGTTTTATAATTTAATACAGGAAAACTAAGGAAATAGTACAAAATTCCCATATATCCCATTCCCACTTTCCTCTATTATTAACATCTTACATTAGTATGGTATCTTTGTTACAATTAATGAACTAGAATTGATACATTAATGTTAACCCAAGTTTGTACTTTATACAGATTTTTTGGGGTTTTACCTAATGTCCTTAATTCTGTTCCAGGCTCCCATCCAGGACACCCCATCACATTTGTCATGCCTCTTAGGTTTCTCTGATTTTTCTTGTTTTGATGACCTTCACAGCTCTGACAGGTGCTGGTCAAGTATTGCCTCATTATTGTAATCTCTGTCTGATATTTTTCTCATGCTAAGACTGGGGTTATATGGTTTATTGGGAGAAAAACCACAGAGGTAAAGCATCATTTTCATAACATCATATCAAAGGTATATACTATCAACATGATTCATTACTGTTGATGTTGACCTTGATAACCTGGCTGAAGTAGCATCCCAGATTTCTCTACTGGGAAATTACTCCTCCACCCCTTCAATTTGTACTTGTTGGAAGTCACTTTGTGGAGCTCACACCTAAGGAGTAGTGTTAAAACCACCTCCTTGAGGGTGGAGTCTATGTAAAGTATTTGGAATTCTTCTGCACAGAGGATTTGTCTACTCTCCCCCCAAATATTGATTTATTCAATTATTTATTTATATCAGAATAGACTCATGGATATCTATTTAATGCTTTGGATTTTAATTCCTTGCTACTTTGTCTTGTTGTTCTAATTGTTCCAGCTTTGACCATTGGGACCTGTTTCTGTTGGCTCCTAAGGCCTTTTGGGATATGTGTGTGAGAACACTTTCTTACTTTCTGGCACTACAAGACACTCCAGGTTTACCTTGAATTATTTCCTGCCCCAGGCCTAATATCAGCCATTTCTCCAAGGAACCCTAATTCCTTTTATTGAAAAAAATGTAAATAGAAACCAAGGTCTTGGCTCTAGGTATCCTGATTGCTAATGGGATATCATTTGTTTAGGCTCTCTTAACTGAGAAAGCAAATAAATATATAGGTATACTAACCCATACATGTACACACATCTGTAAATGTTTTGATATATATCTGTATTTATATTGAACTAAATGAGAGCACACTGATTTCGCCTACTCTAATCCATTAACGCATGGGTCATCTTAGCTTTCTCCCCTTGTCTATCTGTAAATTCTTTCTCCAGTAGTGAGATATGTGGCTCCCACCACACATTATCCATTTACTTAATTGTTCAATTCCAGTTAATGTGTAAAGCAGTTAAAAATAGTTACATCTTTTAAATTAGTTTAAATATTTCACCTAATTCATTTTAATCTTTTAAAATGAATTACATCTTTTTAATTAGTTTAAATATTTCATCTAATTCACTTCATTCGATACATTTGTGTATCACCAATTTAGTTTTTAAAGTACTGTAAAAACTGCATTTTAAATCGGTAATTAGTTTTTTTTTAAATTCTCTACAGTATATTTTATGAATTTAAAAGTGCTATTTTAAGAAGAGTTACATAGGCTTCCCCAGATTATTAAAGGGATGCATAGGTAGTAAAAAGGTTGCAATCCCAACCATTGTGAGGTTGTAATGAGATGATGTGAAATTGCCCTACTGACATTAGGGGGCACTCACACTTAATAAGTGTTATCCTTGCCCACCTGGGCAGGCTTTTATCTCCTTTTACAATTCTAAGTACCTTGGAAAGAGAGCAAGCTAAACCTTATGGTTAATAATGTGTAATTAAGTTGAAGGATTTGCTAGGGATCAGATATTGGAGGTAAAGGTTCATATAAAGTTAAGGCAAGAGAGGATGAGAAAGTGAAGGGAACCAGAGGACTGAAATGACTCTGAGTTCAGTGCTTTTGCAGTTGAAGAGGTATGGTTTGGAATCCTTCCATTCCCAGACTGAATGTGTCTCATTTTTTAAATAAGGACAACAGTAGTGATTACAAATGTTTTAAATTTTTCTTCAATTAGTCTGAGGCAGTTGGGTTTAAGTGTGATGACTTGGAACAGTCCCAGACATATCTTATTGTCTCTCCTGGTGCAGTTTCTATTCTTTGAAGCCAGACTCACTGGAAGTATAGACAGTTTCTTGCAATAATTTAGGCTTCTCCATTTATCAGACTATGCTTGCCAGGAGCATTTTGTTCATGGAAAAAAATTGGTGTTAATGGTGCTAAGAAAAAGACAGAATTAGTGATGTTAAATGGCAGGAATTAACATCTTAGTATCTCTGAGAAAATACAAGATCTGTCTGGAAAAAGTCCAGCCATTGCTAATATAAAG